GCTCTTTACAAATATTAATTTTTATAATTTTTTAGTATATAGGAATACTATTTTTTTATTTTTAAGCCCATATTATTAATTTTGTTTAAAGACTAACTTTTCAAGCCATACATTTATCCAATGAAGAGCATTTGTTAGAGTATCCTGATGAGAAAATATTTCAACGAACGAAACGAAAAAAGGGGGAAAAAACGTTGTCATTAATTTACGCATAAAATTTTATAATTTATGACAATGTGAGGTGTAGCTGGAGCGCCGGCTCCAACTTAAACTCCAACTCCGGCCCAAGCCATTGGGGCCCGAACCAGAATGTGGCCGACAAATGAAAACTGAAGATCGCTGGACATGGGTTGGTTTTTGTTGGTTTGTATTTTTCTTCCCTCTGGTTTTTTTTTTTTGTTGTTTTTGGGGCTCATTGGGATCCTCCAACATAAGCGACTTTTATAATTATGTCTACGCATAAAAATCACATAAATTTGTGCATAAATGCAACAACAATAACGAGCCCTACATAATAAATGATGGCGCTTAAAATTTTCAACATCTCCATGGAGAAGAAACGATAAAAATCGCTGTTTGAAGTTAAAATCCCTCCCGAAAAAATCGAAATCGAGCAACTGGTCAAGTGCTTTGATCAACCTCTCGTCTTATGAATGAATTAATGTATATTTTTTTGTGCATAACATTTTAAATTCAAGTTAAAAAAACGTTGCCTTCTTGTCATTAATAAAAATCAACATTTGACTTCATTTTTTTTTCTCGTTTGACTGGGTGTTTTTATTATTTATGATACTTGGCGCTATGTAGCGCCGTTTGACTCCATCAAATGAGTTATTTTCACTGGATTTTTGGGGAATTTACTTTTTTTTGTTAGGATAAGAACCAGACATTATTAAAGGGGTTAGAAAGAAAGCTTCAAATGATCTCATGTAATGCTCAAAGATTAATTGATTTAACTAGGAGTGGATAAAAATTAATGACAACATTTTCAATTTTTAATATCTTTGGTCTTATTTACGATATCTTAAATTTTTACATCCATTACATTTTTAAAATGGATCAAATAATGTAAACTTCTTTAGAAAGTGGGGGATTCTTCCAAAAGCTTTTTCTCACGCATCCCAAAACTCTCTGATGATTCATTTTGTAACCAAACCAAAGTGCAACGATTTTCTGTATCATATACATGCGCAAATTCACGATATCTTGGATATATGTACATATATATATATATATATACTGATATATGAGCTCGCCCTGAAATACTCCACTCAGTTTTGACATTTATATTTATTTCAACGTGCATCGGTCTGAGGTTCTCCCAATGCAACTTGAATTATGGCCAATGGACACGCAAAGGTGGCCGAAACAGCCCCGCCCACCACCTCCTCCACCTGCCCACATGTGGCATATGGCATGGATTCGACGGATGAGCGTGACGTTGGCCCGGGACTTTTTCTCCTGTTCCTGGGCGCCCCCAAGGAATGCGCCACAAATAAAGTAAAATTAATAATATCGCACTTTGGTTTTTTTTTTCGCTTCCCTGTTCTTGCTACAGTTTTTATTGTTTTTTCTCCACATTCCGACTGAGTCGCTTTCTTTGTTTTTGGTTTTTGTTTGATGTTTTTTATATAAAAAGTAAATGCCAAAAAGCAAAATATTTCCTTTGGTCCTCCAGGTCGCTTTTGGTGCGTGTGGCACTGAAAGTTTGCCGAATGAAAAATTACACAGCCGAATGATAAATAACATAACTCAAATCGAAGACATAAAAAACAGGAATATATGGCCGAGCAAAGTGTTTCTTCAAGGAGTTGTGGGACCCAGACCGGCTGTCTTCCAGCCAGGATGAGTTCAAAGATGGTAATACATCAGAAGGGGAACAATAGCTCTGGTTGGGATAGGTTGCCTAAAGAGATATAGGTATAAATTGTTGTTTATATTAAAACCCAACTCTTTGATCGTAATTTGTTTTATTTTTTATTGATTGGAGTCCATACTACGGGGACCCAATTCTCTCTCCATATAGGGAGAAATATTGCGGATTTAATAAAAAGATTTAATAAATTTTAATTTATAGTTTTCAAATATTAAGATTCACACTTAATTTTTCTTCCACACTTAATCTCGTTACCATGGTAAACTTCGATTGGATTCTTTATGAAAGCCATCTGCTCTTGCCTCGAAAACAGCGACAACAAACCAAATTAAATAATATGGAATTAAAATTTAATGAAAAACACTTTTCCCCTGCTCTGATGACCCTTTTGCGCTCGGACTCTCCCCCAAAGCTCCACGGGTGGGCCGCCCAAACGGAAATGCTGGAACAGCGAAATATTTCACGCCTTCTTTAACAGAATTTATTAAAAAAGTATTACAAAAGTAGTAGCCCATAGTGATTGTTAGGCTTGCGTATATGAAATACGGTAACCTAAGCACACCCAAAAATAATATCGAAAAAAACCTACATACGAACGTTATGTGAAATAATAATATTCTGCACTGTGAAGAGTCAAATCAAAGCGTTTTGGAACCGCGGGGGGTGTCAGCGCAGGGTTCACACATCTGCGATACTTTTCCCGGGCAAAACCAAAAACATCAGCGGCAACAACAATAGCAAATGCCGTAATAATAGTTGCCAAAAGCAATTAGACAAACTAATAAAGGCAAATCCCCACACAAAAGGGTCAAAAGGGAGAGAGAGGGCGCGCAAGAACGGGTCCCTGGGTGACCCCGGAATGCGACCGAGTGCAAGTGAGACGCATAGGCTCAATGCCAAGCCCCCAATGGCGTTGCCCAAGCGAGATGGCCATAGTGAGGTGAGATGGGACGATGTTGCATTCCGGTTGTCGCCTGTGTTGTTATTGTTACCGCCGGGCATGCGTTTTATGGCAATCAGGTCTGGAGGGGCGTTGGTCTACAATGTGTGGTATGTCTGATGTTTTGCATATACATACATACATATATTCCTTAAAAATACAATTGAAAATAGTAAGTGGAGTGTATGATTTAATATAGGTACATAAACCCTTTGCGTGAAATATCATGATTCCGATATTATTAATCCTTAATCCGATCCAGATGCCGTAAAATAATGTGGTATTGTGTTTCACATACGTTTCCACAAAAACGCAGAAAAATTAGAGATGGACCGGAAAGGGCTGGAAGAAGCAGCATCGCAAAAGTCAAGAGAGGGAAGAATATTCGACTTTCAACAAGTTTCGCCGTTAGGCAAATAATAATGTTTCCACAATGTAATAATTTTTATATGTATGCAAGTTGTAAGTCTCTCTGCTGATGTATAGGTTTCTTTCATCATTTCGACCCCTTGGCTTCTCTTCACCTCTGGTCTAGTGGCAAAGTTCAACGTAATTGCGTTTAGAAGTGCGTGTACTTGAATATTTTGCTTCCATTTTTCTTTTTTCCGAGAGTGTTAACCTTTTGTTGTCGGGTTTTCGCCGTTACATATTATATATGTTTTGAAAGCAAAGTCATGCTGGATCACAATACTGAGACCCATAGGCCTTTCTAATGCTCAAAAATTTGTTTTCTGAAGTGGCTTTTATTATTTCGTCTGGATAGGCCATATTGATATGCCTCGGTTGGTAATGAAGTGAGTGGAAAGATATTTTGAAAGAGTTTAGTTAGTGGGGGGCCTAAAAAAGGGAATTATTTTTATATAAATGAAACTGAAAGGAAATTAAAATTATATTGATTTTAAATTAAATCGTTTATTATTCATTTTTTCAGGACCCCTTTTTTTATAGAAAATACGTACATAGATTCAAATATACATTTATTTAGAATATTGTTTATATATATGTATATATAGGACATTTTTCGCACCCCACTGCGCCACAATTTCATTGTGTCTATTCATAACTCTTTACGTACGCCCACACTCCCCCAAATTACAACAATCATTTTAATTTAATGCATCTGAACCGTTGACCAAAACAAAGCCAAACAAACAACCAAAGATTCATACCGACCATGGAATGAATCCCGAAATGAGTTGCAAACAAATTACGCCGCAGAAATGAACTCCAGCAGTGACAAATTACAAGGAAACAAGGAACCAGCCGGGCGGCGGCGGCAGCGACGATGAGAAATGATGACAGTCGGGCAGACAATCCCGGTACCAGAGGAGGTGGCAGCTCACAACGGTAAAGGTGAGACAGAAACAGCAAAACGATGTGGGAGCAGGAAGACAAGCAAGAAACAGATGTGCCAATTTAGTCAGTTATTTCTGTAGGTAGAGGTAAAAAGCTTGCATACTTAATGGGGCCAGCTAAGTAAGCGGAGTATCCTTTAAAAAAAATAGTAATATTACTACTATAAAGTATTTATGAATAGAATATCTAAATAGTACCAAGAAATACTAAACATAATTTATTTTAAAATTCATACATTATTTATTTTTTGATAAAATACAAATTTTCATTGCATAATATGAAAGACAAGAAAGATACCCTGCAAACCAGCTGCCACTTCCGTTTTGTGGCACTTTGCACCTTTTGGCACGCGTTGTTCTGGCCACTTTAGAGCTCCATCCAACAGTTCCACTTCCGCTGCCATCTTGTCTCGTTTACAGAATACTGGCCAATCTATACCGACCTATGGCCCAGAGTTGCCCCCGCTGATTTGGCCCTCATGCAGTGCTTTTGACATTGTCCGAAATCTCGACTTTTGGGTTATTCGGGTTTTACGCTCGGATTTACATCTGTTTGCATTTTTATTTCGCCCGACGACCCTTCTCGATGGGCGATTTGTTGTCTTTTTCATTTGTATTCCTATAGAGTTATTATGTCCATTAGCAAAATGTTTTTCGGGGTTTTGTTCCACATTTTCTATGTCTCGCATTAGATTGTGCTAACTCAATTAGCAGTTGGCTATTAGAAAAAGATCTTTCAAAGAAACACATGCTCGACCTTTCTTGGAATACATCTAACGCAATTTCTGTATAATTCAAACTTTTAAAGCAAAAACCAAGTAATCTTGAATCTCATAAAGTCAATTTTTCCATCAACAAATGAACATATTTTTAATAAAATAAAAACTTCCATAGCTTAGCCCAAAATGATAGAAAAAAATATTTGGAGTCCTGCAAGACCCATCATTCCAGGGGCCGACCGAGCCATCAAGAATCTCCGCCACACAAATTTTGCTCCTTCCTTTGAGGGCGAACAGCCACAGATGGCGTTAATCCTTTCCTGGCACTACGGTCGCCAGTGGCTAGAAGAACGAGAGGTCTACCAAAAGTCTTTACAGAAAAAGACCAAGAAGGCTTTAAAGTTCATTCCCCCTGACTTTACCCGTTGGCTTGAAAAACGTAAGCCAATCAAGACTCGTAAACAATGGATAAGCTCCTGACTTTTATTGTTTTATATTTTTATTTATTTTGTATACATTTTTCGGGGCATTGCTGATAATTGTTGTAGCCTTGAATTTATAAAATTTGTATTGTATTTTCGAAACGAATCAATAAACAAAAGATATATTTATTTAAAATGTTGTATGAAGAACTAACAGTTGCCAAGACAAAGGGATGGTGTAAGCAGGATACAATAATATAATTGTATCATGGGTGTAAGATCTATTTTAATCAATTTTACTTGATTAAAAATATTGATATCTTTTTAGTTTATGGGTTTTCTTTTTGTGTTGATAAGGACTAACTAACACTTCTAATGTTGGCATCCTTAAAGTTGCTTATCTTAAAGATTTTTCGTATTCTCCGTATTTTTTTCTTTTCGACGAATTCATATTATTTCGTATATAAGGATTGTAAAAAGTTTTCCTGAAAACAAAAAAACAAAGATACCTTTTTAAAGTACATAGGAAAACGTCAAGCCCAACCAGACTCATTCAACGTTCTGGCATCTAACAAGCAACACAAATATACATTAATATACAGTGTATATTATACATTGTATAAATATATTGTATAAAAACTCAAATATAAAAAAAAGCGAAATACTTTTGCGACGCGATGCCTCTTGGGAGAACTTGGAGCCGCTCAATGCTCATCCCGGCTAAGAATCATGATGGAGCTATTTTTCCGCCCGCGAGGAGACCGGAACCCATTCCAGAGATTCGAGAGGATCGACCGTGCATGGGATGGCTGCTCGGCTGGGAGTACGGTCGGAACTGGCTGACTCGCCGAGAGGAGATTACCCAGCAACGCAACATGATCGCCAGTTTCGCCAGGATTCCACCGGACTTCGACTGGTGGCTCAATCAGCGCCGTCCGCTTTTGGTACGTCAGCAGCGTTTCCAATCCAAGACTGGAGCCCGGAAGACGTTAACAGCTTTTAGCTTAGCCAAGCAGAGACGGGAGTCACACCGTCGTAAAATGCAAGGAGTTCCAAAAGAAAACTAAGAAGTACCACTGTCACTTTATTCTAGGGAACTTTCTTATGTTTTTATATATATACTACATATATACATAAGCATAGCTGTAATTGCAAGTCAGAGATGTTCCCTAACCCTAAATTATGAAAGTGTAGCCCCTGTTAGATATTAAAAAATAACGACTGCAACGAGAACAAAAATTGTAGATTTTTTGTAACATATTCTGGAATGCATAAATGGGGCGTATATCTTTGCCATTTTCAAAAATGCATGAGGAGGTCTATATGACCCACAGCGAAGGGTATATCTTTGCCATTTTCAATCCGATCCTCAAGCGGAATATCTTGATCGATTTGTATTTCGATTTAACACAAATCTGCATCAAAACCCAGCCACAAATTTTTTAAAAGATTTTTTGTCAAATTTCATGGGGATCCCCTTCAAAATTTCAAAAATGCATGATGAGGTCTATACGGCTCACAGCGATGATTATATCTTTGCCATTTTCAATACGATCCTCAAGCGGAATATCTTGATCGATTTGTATTTCGATTTTACACAAATCTGCATTAAAACCCAGCCACAAATTTTTTAAAAGATTTTTTGTCAAATTTCATGGGGATCCCCTTCAAAATTTCAAAAATGCATGATGAGGTCTATACGGCTCACAGCGATGATTATATCTTTGCCATTTTCAATACGATCCTCAAGCGGAATATCTTGATCGATTTGTATTTCGATTTTACACAAATCTGCATTAAAACCCAGCAACACATTTTTTAAAAGATTTTTTGTCAAATTTCATGGGGATCCCCTTCAAAATTTCAAAAATGCATTTTGAGGTCTATACGGCCCACAGCGATGACTATATCTTTTCCATTTTCAATCCGATCCTTAAGCGGAATACCTTGATCGGTTTGTATTTCGATTTTACACAAATCTGCATCAAAACCCAGCAACACATTTTTTAAAAGATTTTTTGTCAAATTTCATGGGGTTCCCCTTCAAAATTTCAAAAATGCATTTTGAGGTCTATACGGCCCACAGCGATGACTCTATCTTTGCCATTTTCAATCCGATCCTTAAGCAGAATATCTTGATCGATTTGTATTTCGATTTTACACAAATCTGCATCAAAACCCAGCAACACATTTTTTAAAAGATTTTTTGTCAAATTTCATGGGGATCCCCTTCAAAATTTCAAAAAAATGCATGATGAGGTCTATACGGCCCACAGCGTAGGCTATATGTTTGTCATTTTCAATCCGATCCTCAAGCGGAATATCTTGATCGATTTGTATTTCGATTTTACACAAATCTGCATCAAAACCCAGCAACACATTTTTTAAAAGATTTTTTGTCAAATTTCATTGGGATCCCCTTCAAAATTTCAAAAATGCATGATGAGGTCTATACGGCTCACAGCGATGACTATATCTTTGCCATTTTCAATACGATCCTCAAGCGGAATATCTTGATCGATTTGTATTTCGATTTTACACAAATCTGCATCAAACCCCAGCAACACATTTTTTAAAAGATTTTTTGTCAAATTTCATGGGGATCCCCTTCAAAATTTCAAAAATGCATGATGAGGCCTATACGGCCCACAGCGATGACTATATCTTTGCCATTTTCAATCCGATCCTTAAGGGGGGACATCTGAGTAGAATTTTGAAAAAATCGAAATTTTTTTTTTTCGCTTAAAAAATTCTTTAGGGTCTTAAAAATGACATATCAAAAGATAGAGTCCGGCAAAAGTGTCTAAGTGTCGAAATTTTTAATTCTGCGGCGATGCCTCACAGGTATATCCCACAGTACTTAAAACTTTAAACGCGTTTTTCTCGAAACCACTTTTTTTGAGTTGGCCGAACACCTAACTCAAACAACTCTTAACCTATCGATCTAAAATTTTGACAGTATACTCAGAATACCTAGGTCTATCGACACACGTAGGATTTTTTATTTTGCTTACATTTTTTTTTATCAACAATTTTGTGACGTTTTTTGTTAGTGAAAATTGAAAATTTTGTTCAATCACTTGCCATTTTGGAAAAAATCAATATATCGAAAAAATCCTACGTGTGTCGATAGCCGTTGAGATAAAGAAACTAACCAAACTTGATTTTTTGTTCTAGATCAAAAATTAAGGACATTAGGTGTTCGGCCATGGACCCCCTTTAAAAAAATAGGGCCTACGAATAAGGGCTGCAGGGCCGCCATTTTGTTTTCGATTTATTAAAAAAAAATTTTATTGTGTAGTTTAAATATGATATAATAAAACCCCATTTACAAATTTTCGATTAGCTGTTTTGATTTGGCCAAAAAAAATTTGAGAAAAACCGCTTTTTTTTGGCCTGTTACTCAGATGTCCCCCCTTAAGCAGAATACCTTGATCCTCAAGCGGAATATCTTGATCGATTTGTATTTCGATTTTACACAAATCTGCATTAAAACCCAGCAACAAATTTTTTAAAAGATTTTTTGTCAAATTTCATGGGGATCCCCTTCAAAATTTCAAAAATGCATGTTGAGGTCTATACGGCCCACAGCGTAGGCTATATCTTTGTCATTTTCAATCCGATCCTCAAGCGGAATATCTTGATCGATTTGTATTTCGATTTTACACAAATCTGCATCAAAACCCAGCAACAAATTTTTTAAAAGATTTTTTGTCAAATTTTGTGGGTGATCCCCTTCAAAATTTCAAAATGCATGAGGTGGTCTATATGACCCACAACCGATCTTTGCCATTTTCAATCGGTTTCTTAAACGGAATACCTTAAACGATTTGAACTTCTAATGTACACCAATCTGCATTAAAACGGATTTTAATCCCTATTTTTCTTTAACATTATCATATTTTTGCCAAATTTTATGGGTTATTCCAATATTCTTCTGTTAACTGACCTATTAAAAAATCAGCTTTCATAATTCTGCGGGTATCAATAACTGCGTTGCAAATAAATTTGTTTAAAACCAATCAACTGGATCGATCCTGCGTTCTCCGCATTACGTTCCACTTTTTGTCCCTGCAGTAGGCCTTTATTTTGTCCTGTTTGCAGGACAAGGTCGTAGAGGAGGCAAATAGGCTCATAACAAACAAAAGCGCAGCATCCCACAAACCTTCGCCTCAATCACATTTGTTTTTGCCGCCACTTCCCTTGTGGAAATGTCAGACGAGCATAAAGAACAATGGATCTGCTGCCAGGTCATACCATATAGGAACTATATGCAATCATCATCATGATCGTCGTCGTTGACGTTTTTGTTAATCGTCGACGGAGGACGGGTAAGTGAACAATTGGGCTGGCCCGACTCAAGGCCTGTGGATATTCTTTATTTGCATTTCCGCTTCATTAACTTGGGCACTCGCATCTAACTATTTAGATCAACTACATATTATATGCGGCCTGGTTGGCTTTTTTAGTCTTTTTTTTTTATTGTATTCCCCTTTTTGGCGCGTTATTTATAGAAAAAATATGATTTTAGGGGAGAACATGAACTGCGCAGTTCAGCTTGTCTTTTCGAATACCTTTTATTTTCCCGTACTTTAAGGGTTATTTGTTTGGCTAACAAACTTTTACCTTTCGAGGCCCGCTTAATTTTCTTTATTTTTCAATTACAAAAACTCATTAGTGTTGATTTGGTTTTGATGCCTTTTTCTAGTAATTTATGGCATTTGAAAAAGAAAACGAAGGGAATACTTTTAACTTACGATGGAGAAGTTAAGTTATTTAAAACAAGAAAGGAAAGCTAACTTCGGGCGGAGCCGAAGTTTATATACCCTTGCAGTTTAAACCGGATATATATCGCAAACATCGGATATAGTTGGCCGATCCTTATGGAAATATGAATATATAATCCAATTTATTACAATACAAATTCTAAAAAAAGAATCAAGCTTCTATCTTCAAAAACACCAAAAGTGGTATTTCTACCAAAAACCATTTCCGATCGTTCAGTTATATGGCAGCTATAAGATATAGTCGGTCGATCGTTATGAAATTTGGTAGATCGGATTAACTGACCAAGAATATAATCTGTACCAAGTTCCAGCTTTCTATCTTTAACAACACGAAAGTTGGGTCATTTCCGATCGTTCAGTTATATGACAGCTATAGGATATAGTCGGCCGATCCTTACGAAATTTGGCATGTCGTAATGTTTTGCCAAAAATAGCACTCATGTCAAATTTGAACTCTGTAACTTTAAAAACGTCAAAGTTATACAATTTCCGATCAATCAGTTATATGGCAGCTATAGGATATAGTCGGCCGATCCGGGCCGTTCCGACTTATATACTGCGTGCAAAGGAAAGAAGGGTGTGTGCAAAGTTTCAAGACGATAGCTATAAAACTGAGAGACTAGTTCGCGTAGAAACAGACAGACGGACAGACAGACGGACAGACGGACAGACGGACAGACGGACAGACGGACATGCTCATATCAACTCAGGAGGTGATCCTGATCAAGAATATATATACTTTATAGGGTCGGAGATGTCTCCTTCACTGCGTTGCACACTTTTGACCAAAATTATAATACCCTCTGCAAGGGTATAAAAATCTTTTGGGATATATGTTTCAACATAATATAGATATATTCATAAGCAACCGTTTTTTTAAAGCTTTCTCTCTTAAAAAATAATTATTTGGGTATTTTATGATTACGCTCTCAGCAGCTACTTCGTAATTTTAGTTCATAATCATATATTTTCTTAGCTTATTATAAGCCATTAATTTCGTGCTCATTTTCCCTCGACAGTCTCCTCGTGTATTTTCAACAACATTCTAGTTTCGTATAATTTCCACGCAATTTATTCCACGAGAAACATTTTCCAGAAACTACAACGTAGAAAAATGCTTCACACTGTGCTGCAGTTTTCCGCGCATAAATTAATGGTAACGAATGAAGGCCATGATGAGGTTGCTGCCAAGCGGTGGAGGCGGCAAGGGCTGGGAAATGTATGATTAAACATTAAACAAGTGGCATGAAATCGGTAACTGGCTATGAAGAATGGCTTTTATTTAATGCTTTCAAATTGTATATGGCCAAGGACCAAATGTATCTCAGCCTCAAAGTAGGCAATATATTCGGTTTCCACCAAAAACATCAAAGATTAGAAATTAGACTGTAATTATGGAAAGTAAACCATAGCAGAAATTGAATTTGTGGTCGAATAGCG